AGAAAAAATAGCATTGATAATTTCACTATTTGAAAGGGGCTTGTCAAGTGATGAGAGGTCTAAAGAGTCAAAACTGACAAGGTCACTAAAGATATTAGGGTTATTTGCAAAGCAATGAGAAGTTGTAAAGGCATTCTCATACAAAAATTGAGCATGAGTAAGGATATCACTATGATTATCAACCCAATTTCCTTGGTCATCTTTAAAGAAGCTAACATGGTTTCTTCTTCTTCTATTAGAGGCACTTATATGGAAAAAAATTGTGTTTGCGTTCCCATCATTAAGCTAGGAAATTCGTGATCTAAGTCTCCAATAGTCTTCTTCTAGTTTTAAGATATTATTGAAGTCGTTTTTAGAGAGGATTCTAGGCTTTGGAGAAAAGAACTATAAGTATAATTGAGAGAGTTTTGTACCCTTAAGGTGAGCCAGAATTCTCTTTTTTCTTTTTAGAATATCTCCAAAAGTTTCCGTACTCCACTTGGAGATGTTAATAGTAAAATTTTGAGTGGATTCTAAGAGGTTACTATTAAGACAATTTTGACGTACCAAATTAACAAAATCAGGGTGTGTGCACCAGAGAAGCTAACATGGTTTCTTCTTCTTCTATTAGAGGCACTTATATGGAAAAAAAATTGTGTTTGCGTTCCCATCATTGAACTAGGAAATTCGTGATCTAAGTCTCCAATAGTCTTCTTCTAGTTTTAAGATATTATTGAAGTCGTTTTTTAGAGAGGATTCTAGGCTTTGGAGAAAAGAACTATGAGTATAATTGAGAGAGTTTAAGATACCCTTAAGGCGAGCCAGAATTCTCTTTTTTCTTTTTAGAATATCTCCAAAAGTTTCCGTACTCCAATTGGAGATGTTAATAGTAAAATCTTGAGTGGATTCTAAGAGGTTACTATTAAGACAATTTTGACGTACCAAATTAACAAAATCAGGGTGTGTGCACCAGAGAAGCTAACATGGTTTCTTCTTCTTCTATTAGAGGCACTTATATGGAAAAAAATTGTGTTTGCGTTCCCATCATTGAGCTAGGAAATTCGTGATCTAAGTCTCCAATAGTCTTCTTCTAGTTTTAAGATATTATTGAAGTCGTTTTTTAGAGAGGATTCTAGGCTTTGGAGAAAAGAACTATGAGTATAATTGAGAGAGCTTTGGATACCCTTAAGGCGAGCCAGAATTCTCTTTTTTCCTTTTTGAATATCTCCAAAAGTTTCCGTACTCCTCTTGGAGATGTTAATAGTAAAATTTTGAGTGGATTCTAAGAGGTTACTATTAAGACAATTTTGACGTACCAAATTAACAAAATCAGGGTGTGTGCACCAAATATTTTCTAACATAAAGAGTTTACTAAGAGCTACATGAAAAAAGGAGTTAAGGTTTAAGAGAAGGGGGTTGTGATCAGAATATGTTTTTGGAAGATGGGTTACTGTGGCATTAGGAAATAGATTGGCCCATTCTTCATTTCCTAAAAAACGATCTAGTCTTTCCATAATTAAATCATTAAACCTTTTTCTATGGTTAGACCAAGTAAATTTGCTACTATTAAACTAAGTTCATAAGTCTACATTTGTTAATAAAGTACCAAATCCTAGAGGTCCTAGAAATACTGACAGTTCTTCCTCCAAATTTTTTGGATGACATGGTAATGTCATTAAAATCTACACCCACTAACCATCCTCATTAAAGCTATTGGAAATATTAATTAGATTATCCCACGTAGAATCTCTATCATGCATATTAGTACTAGCATAGATAATGCTTAATAACCAAGTAAAACAAAAGGCAAGTACCTCTATCATTACATGAATTTCTTGACCCCTCCTTGTGAAATTGTGAACTGTGACCACGGTATGGTCATAGAGAATGGTCATACCTCCAGATTGGCCTTCAGAGGGAACTTCGATCATCTCAGTGAAATTAAAATCATTAAGAAGGGAAACATGTGTCGCCATTCTGGTTTCAAGGAGAGCAACTAAGCAAGGCCTATGAGTGTCAACCAGATCCTAAAGTTACGATGAAAGTCGTCATTGTTAGCACCACGGACATTCCAGAAGATGATTCTGGTGGATCTCATCATCCTTGGTTGGTGGTTTGGATTGACAGACATTTCCTCCTCCTCCAAGTTGGAGTTTGAGGTCCTCTTTTGGCGTGGGACCAAGATCACTGCATGGGTTCCCACAGTTGGGTCCCGTGGAGGCCTTATGTCCACTGAGAATTTGAACATTAAGGGAGGGCAGTTGAAGATGAATTTCTTGCTCAGCATCTCCTTGAATAGTAGTACTTTTACTTCATTTAGGTTTTCAAATTCCACACTCGATTTCATAAGTAGAGGATTTATTTCTTCCTCCTCTTTTGGGTGATTTTCTACTGGTTCTTACACATTTGGAGGTGGTTGTTTCCCATCTGCATTGGGATGTTGTTCTGGGCATTTGTATGTTCTGTTGTTGCATGCATGTCCCAGAGAATGAAAATGGGGTTGATTTGGGAGAGCTCCTCCGGTAGGAAGAATGGAAGATCCACTGGTAGATTTTCTGGGACTTGAGGGTTTGCTTGGGGAGGAAGATTCCATTGTTGTTGCATGGCTTGAATAAGATTTTGATTCATTGTTGGAGCCAAGGGATGTAGGACATTGTTGATCCACATTTGGTTCATGTAGTTGTTCATGGCTAACTTTATCCTTCCGAGATTAGTTGAGCAAGGTAAGGGGTGCTCTGGATTATAGAGACCGTATCCTGTCCATTGATGTCCATGTTGAACGTGATTGCATGACCCATCAATCCTGCTTCTAGCCAAAATAGGGGTTGATAATTCTGGGGAAGTGGGGGAGAGGTGTAGTAAACTGTTGGATTTGGGAGATGAGGGGGAAGTAGGGGAAGGTTGTACATTGTTGCGCGGTGTTGGTAACGAAGGATTTGAAGGAATCTGTTTCTCCTCCTCGATGAAATTGGCAGTTTTGGAATTTTTAGGAGTGACAGGGTTTATATCAGGGATTTTTGGTTGAGTGGGATTGGTGCTAGACAATTCCCTAGGAAACTTTATAGTAGAACTTTTTACTTGCATTTGGTCAGATTGGGAAAGAGTAAGGGAGTAAAAAGATCCTTGGAAGATTTTGTTTGTGACACTTCGTCATGAGAGGTGTCCATTTGGCATACCTCAGAGAGCTCGTTGTCTAGAGGAGTTAGAGGAGCTTTGGAATTAACGGGAAAGGTAGTGTCAGTGCATAGGGTATTAGTGAGAAAGACATCCATATTATTAAGACTAGTATTTATTTTATTAAGAGGTTGTTGATTAAGCAAAAGATTTTTATTAGTAGGATTTTTAGTTAATGATTGAGAGCTAAGAGTAGAGGGGTGCATGTTGTTGGTCACGTGTGGCTTCAGATTTTGAAAAGTGTCATGCAAAGTGGACATGCATTGGGTGAGAGTGATACTATCTGATTTAGAGGAGGTCGGTTCCTCCAAAACTATGGGCTGTTCAATTAGACTAGAGAATTGGTTGTTAATCATAGTTGATTTAGGGGAAAACGACTCAGTAGTGTTTGGAGTTTTCTTTCATATTTCTCATATTGTATACGAGTAGATTTTTCCACGTAATTAAACTTCTGAGTATTGAGATACTTACCTGTATCAGCATCATAAATTCTGGCATTTATACCTAGGACATTTTGATCATGGGTGGAAGTTGTAGGAGATCGTGTAAACTTCCTTTTTGCTTGGCAAAGGAGACTGTTTTCCAATCGCCTTCCATTGGCTCCTGCTCCTGCTTCTGAACACTTTCAAGATTGGTGGGATTACCTACTGCCTTGGCATTTTACTTTTTAATGGAGTAATGACATTGAAGGGCAACGTGGCCTAATCTCCCACAATTTTTGCACAAGAACTTTTCTCCCTCATAACAAATATCTTGCTTATGGGAACCAATAAAAATAAAAGGTTTAATAGGAATATCCATAGGGATCTCCACGCGCAGCCTTGCATATCTTCCCCTAAGAGTAGCGGATGTGCAAGCATCAACCCTTAACAGTCTTCCTATCGTGTTTCCAATCCTGTGCAAGATTAAACCATCGTAAAATTCAGTGGGAAGTTGAGGAAGAAGGACCCATATAGCCATAGAGAGAGGCTTTGCCTCAGAAGCAACAAAGTTAGCTTCCCATTTTTGTAATGAAAAAAGTGGCCATTAATAAACTAAGGGCCTTGCTGTAAAGCTTTCACCATATGTTCTTCTTTAGAGAACTTTACAATATAGTAGTCTGCGCCAAGGTCAATTAATGGAAAATTTTCGGAAATTTTTCACATGTCCTGGATTTTCCTCTTTAGGTAATGGTGTTGAATTCGTTTACTTAAGAGCTTGATAATGACTGAATATTTCCAATGGTGGTAGATTCGTCGGAGATCATCTAGTGATAGGCTAACACGGTAGCCTTCTTTTACCGGTTCCTCCAATCGCATGTCATGCATAGATGATGTTGTTAACTCCGCTTCTTGGTGTATGGGCATTGGGGAAGACATCTCACCTTGTAGTGCTATTAGGTTAGAGTGGGGTTCTATGAGTGGTATATCTTTGAAAGAGGGAGAGTCCTCTAGAGGAGTAGGATTACGATCATTTGATCGATTCACGCTTGCCATAGTGGTTGGAATATTTGGTGGCTCGGTGGAGTTGAGGCGGCTTGGACAATGAAAATGGGAGGTATGGTCATCTACCTTCTAGAGAGAGAAAGGCATAAGATCTGTAGTTATTTCCAAGTAATTAACTTCATCTATTGTGCTTGGGTTTTGTGAATGAACATAGTTACAAGAGCAATTTCATTAAATTAGAAACATTCCCCCTATAGTTGAAAACATTTCAAATTAACCAAGTTGATCCAAATGGGATAACAAGACATTTATCTTCTCTTGCTAGTAGATAAAAGAAAACAACATCTATCCTTCTATGAGAAAATTCATTCCAAATCTTATTAAAAAAGAAATAAAATTTATAAATTAGAACTGCCGTTGTTATTATAAAGAACAACGGCAGTGACAAACGTGTTTATTTTCAACTAATTTGCAAGTTCCTCCGAGCTCACACTCATTGACACAGAACGTCCAACATTTGCCATCATTATCTGGATTATCAGTTACACCAGGTACACATGGACCGACCTCTGGATGATCCTGGCAACATACTGATGCATCAGCCATATTATTGCAACCTACAAAAGTAAAACACCATTTAATAGTAAATAAGTACTCTATTATCATGTTAATCTATTTGATTGGATACGGGGTTTAATAAAAAATAAAAGACTTCTGAATTTTATGGTCTTAAACATGTCACGATATTTTTATATGGCTATAAAATCACCATTAAGGATAAGCAAAATTTTAAAACTAAATTATTTTCAAATATAAAAATATGTCATTTCTCTTTTAATATGCTAAAATGGAAATTATATCACATAAATCAAAATTGAAGAACTAATAACCAAGAAAAAAGTTGAAGGACAATTTTGAAATATATGGCTAGACTAGTGTGGTATGTTTTGCACCTTTTTATCAAATGAACTTATAATCTGCTGATCTAATTAATTTACAAATCCTAAGGATTGCAAATTTGCATGTTCTTATTAGCAAATTAAATTATCCACTCAAACATGAAAGCGGTCAGAATGAGACTATCACGACCACATTCTTCTATGAATCAAACATATCTTTCATAAAAAGAATACCAAAAAATTCAAAAAACATTGGGGAAAAAAAAAGGTAAAAACACATATGAAGTACCTATAATAAGAACAATGAGTGTGACAAGAAGAACTAAATTAACCCTCTTGATAGCCATACTAAAAGAAACAATTTTATAAATTGGTGCGTCTCAATCTTAATGAAAAATGAGTTATTTATAGTGAAAAATAGCGAGGTATTTGGTTTTGATATTACATATATCTATAATAAGATTGCTATTATTCATAACCATCCTAGAACAAAAGAAAGTAGTGCTTATTCTCTTCCCATCTTAGGCCAAAAAAAGGTAGGACGCATCTACAAAATAACAAACAAATTTAAGAGCCTGCTATATTACAGCTTGTTTGGATGGTTGTTACATGTTGTATCGTATCGTATTGTTACTTTAAATATAATATTTTTAATTATTGTTACTTGAATTTTATTGTATCGTATTGTTAAATCAGTCGTTACGGAACGATGAAATGTGCCACTTTATGTAACGACCGATTTTTTTGTGGCCGCGTCGTTTTCTTGTGTTTTTTTCTCAATCTCACCCCTCATTATTATTAAATATTTTTATTTTATCATTTACTCTACCTTTTTATATACCGTTTCATAATTTTTCTTTATAATATTGCAAGTTTAGTCATCATATTACGGGCGCGTGATACAATGAAACAACGGCAAAATGACACAATTCATCCAAACATTATATTCATCAAACGATACAATACAGTACAATTTAATACGATAAATTATGAAACGATATGTAACAACCATCCAAACAAGCTATTAGGGATCTGATTATGTGAGTAAGTTGTCATAATCACTACTTCTATATGGAATTATAATTTTAATATAAAAAATTAACTAATATATTCGCTCACCTAATCGTTTAAACTAAAAACGGTGGAAGTATTATATACGTATAATTCTGCATAACTGTGTATAATCAGTATTGTAACGACCCGGCCGGTCGTTTTTCGAATTTACGCCCCGTTCCCCTATTAACTGTTTTTCCCAAGTTTGTTTCTGCTATTTTGATTTGCCGGGATGTTCGGTTTTGCGTTTCGGAGAATTTTTGGACACTTAGTCCCTAAATGAGAGCTTAAGTGTTGGAAAATTGACCGTAGTCAGAACAGTGTGAAGACGACCTCGGAATGGAAATTCGATGGTTCTGTTAGCTCCGTTAGGTGATTTCGGGTTTAGAGGCATGGTCGGATTGTGTTTTGGAGGTCCGTAGCTAATTTAGGCTTGAAATGCCGAAAGTTGAATTTTTGAAGTTTCTTGTTCGATATTGAAATTCTGATCCGAGGGTCGGAATGGAATTCCGAGAGTTGCAGTAGTTCCGTTATGTCATTTGGAACGTGTGTGCAAAATTTCAGGTCATTCGGACGAGATTTGATAGACTTTTTGATCGAAAGCATAAATTAAGAGTTCTTGGAGTTCATAGGCTTGGATCCTATGTTAAATTAGTGATTTGATGTTGTTGTGAGCGTTCCAAAGTTTTGAACGATGTCATGGGATGTGTTGGTACAATTAGTTTGAAGTCCCGGGGACTCGGGTGAGTTTCGGGTAGGTTCCAGGATGGTTTTAGGCCGAAAATCATAGCTGTTGCAGGTCCAGAAGAGTTGCAAGCCTCGGAACCCACCAGTGCGGTCCGCACAAAATCCAGTGCGTCCGTGGTGGGGGCTGTGCGGCCGCACAAAATGCAGTGCGGTCCGCGGTGAGGAAAATTTCACTGGTCCTACTTCGGAAGCTCATATCTTCTGATCTACAAGGAATTTTGGGATGCTTCAAAAACAAAAGTTGTAGCCCTTCGTGTCAAGTTTCCAGAATGGTATAGAAATTGCAATTTGGACATCTGTAGAGAAAGTTATGGCCAATATACTAAAGCATGTTACTGCAGTCAAAACCTGTGCGGACAGCACTGGTTTTGTGCGGTCCGCAGTCGTTTTGTGCGGTCCGCAGTGGTGGAAATTCGGAGGGTGCTCTATAAATATATGGTTTTGGGTTTTATTTTATATTTTGACCTAGAGAGCTCGGATTTTGGCTATTTTTCGAAGATTTTTCAAGAAATTCATCGGGGTAAGTGATTCTAACTTAGATTTAGCTAGAGTACATGAATCTATCATTGAATTCAACATTTAGTTCGTGATTTGAGATGGAATTTGGGAAGAGAACTTGTGAAATCTTTCAAACATGTAAAATGATGATTTGAAGGACCAAATGGTATCGGAGTTGGATAATTTTGGTATGGTTAGACTCGTGAGGGTATGAGGATTCTGAAAATATAAATTTTATCCGATTCCGAGATGTGGGCCCGAGGGGCGTTTTGGTCATTTTACCTAATTTCGCGTCTTAGCTTAGAATTTAATTATAGAATTAGTTAATTGAAGTGTTATTTACATTATGAAATTGAATTGAATAGATTTGGACCATTTGGAGTCGGATACTCGTGGCAAAGGCTTGGTTTCGGGTTGACTTGCACTTGTTCGAGGTAAGTGGCTTGTCTAACCTTGTGTGGGGGACCTTTTCCCCTTAGGATCGTTATTGTGGTAATTGAAACGCCTTGTACGTGAGGTGACGAGCGCGTACTTGTGCTAATTGTTGGAAATTCGGGTTTTTTTATTAAAAATAGCCTTGAATTGTGTTCTTCTTTTTCTTACTTACACTGTTTGGAAACTAAACCTGTTGTAGCCTAGAGAAGCATGTCTACTTGACTAAATTGCTCTATTTGCCTTAACTGCCTTAATTGTATTACGTGAACCATGCTAGGTTAGGATTACCTGCTTCACTTTGATATGAATTGATTGGATTGAATTCTTGTTGTTGCTGCGTATTTACTTTGGGACTACGGGACGGTATCCCGGGAGCTCCCCTGCATGTTTACTTTGGGACTACGGAACGGTATTCCAGGAGATCCCCCTGTACTTTTACTTTGGGACTACGAAAATTGCATTCCGGGAGATCCCCCTACACAAATATGAGTTGGACTACGGGACTGCACCCGGGAGATCCACTGGATATGATATTTATATTTGGGGACTACAGGACGGTATCCTGGGAGATCCCCGGTTGTTACCTTGGAGCTGAGTTGTGTTCTCTTACTGTATTTTACTTGCCTCTGGGATAGTTGTGGCTGTTCTTTATATCTTGTGTTACTTATTTACATTGTTTATTTCACACTGTAAAACCTTATATCTTATTTAACCTCAGTAGGGCCCTGACCTTCCTCGTCACTACCCAACCGAGGTTAGGCTTGGCACTTACTAAGTACCGTTGTGGTGTACTCATGCCCTTCCTGCCATGTTTTTCATGTGCAAATCAAGGTATTTCGACTCAGTCCTACCACCCCTGAGGCAAGGCGACTTCTATAGCGACTTCGAGGTATATCTGCCACGTCCGCAGACCGAAGAGTCTCTTTCTGTTCCTGCTGTTTAGTATTAGCCCTTCTGTATTTCAGTTCTTGTTAGACATTCTGGAGTTAGAGCTATGTAGTACTTCATAGCTTGTGATTCATGGGTTTTCGGGTCTTGGATTTATGTATTGGTTTTTGAGAATTAAATATGGTGTATGCCGAGCGGCACATACTACCACTATTTATTTTCCTTATTTCTGTTTTAAGTTGTTTATTTCCGCAAATTTTTGGTTTCTTTTCCGCAATTTAGGCTTACCTAGTTGTAGAGACTAGGTGCCATCACGAGGGTTCATGGAAGGAGAACCGGGGTCGTGACAAGTTGGTATCAGAGCTCTAGGTTCATAGGAATCATGAATCACAAGTCAGTTTATTAGAGTCTCACTGATCGGTACGGAGACGTCTGTACTTATCTACGAGAGGCTATGTAACTGTTAGGAAAATTCCGTTTCATTTGATTTCCTTGTCGTGCGAGATTTTGATATCACAATTCTAAACTTCCGTCTTCTATTCTCTCACAGATGGTGAGAACACGTGCTACTCGAGATGACCAGGCACCCGTGGCCCCTACTGGAGCCGTCAGAGGCCTGGGCCGGGGTAGAGGCCGAGGACGCGCTCGTGGTGCAGCTAGAGCACTCGTGCGAGCTGCCGTCGAGGTACCACCAGCAGTACCAGCCGGAGTCCAGACACCTGATACGCCTGCCATTACTACTCCAGCACTCCAAGAGACTTTGGCGCAGTTTATGAGCATGTACACCACTTTGGCTCAAGCAGGGTTGCTCCCCCTTGCTGCAGCCACATCCCAGGCCAGGGGAGGAGTACAAACTCCCGCCGCCCGCACTCCTGAGTAGCGAGTGCATGTTGGGCAGGTCCCAGAGGTTATTCCTGTGCCGCCTGCAGTGCCAGTTCAGCCCGAGGATAGGGTAGCGGCTTCAGAGGATGAGCAGCGGAGACTTGAGAGGTTCAAGAAATATGATCCTCCTGTATTCAGTGGGTTAGCATCAGAGGATGCCTTGGGATTTCTGGAGGAGTGCTACCATATTCTCCGTAATATGGGCATATCAGGATCGAGCGGGGTTTTCTTCACTACTTTCTAGCTTCGAGGATCCGCCTATCAGTGGTGGCGTGCTTATGAGTTAGACAGTCCGGATGAGGCAGCTTCCCTGACTTGGGCTCAGTTTTCAGATATGTTCACGCGAGAGTATGTCCCCAAGAGTCTTAGGGACGCCTGGCGCGCGGAGTTTGAGCATTTGCGCCAGGGTACTATGACTATCTCGGAGTATGCTGTCTGTTACATCGACTTGGCTAGACATGCACCAGCTTTGGTTTCTACGGTTCGCGAGAAGGTTCGCCGGTTCATTGAGGGGCTTATTCCTAGAATCAGATCTAGCATGGCTCATGAGTTAGAGATGGATATATCTTACTAGTAGGTGGTGAGCATTGCTAGGAGGATTGAGGGTATGCATGCTAGGGACAGAGAGGAGAGGGAGGCCAAGAGGTCTCGAGAGTTGGGCCATTATTCTAGTGCCCGTGGCCCAGCTGCAAGTCGTCATGGTAGGGGTCATATGGGTTGTCCCGTTCATTCAGCTCTTCCAGCAGCCAGTGGTATTCCAGCTCCACCTAGGCCTCAGGAGCCTTATTATGCACCTCCAGTTTCTAGTGCGCCTCCTGCACGGGGTGCTTCCAGTGGTCAGTCC